AAAAAAAAAACTGGAAACAATTTTCCCACCTAAGTGTTGGGAAAACCAATTCAACAAAAATATGGAAAAAGGGGTCACGTGGGGTGGGAGGAAAATATTTTTCATGGAAAAATTTGGCTATCAAATATGGCAAAAGTGAGAAATAGAATTTTAATTTCATTTTCCATGGAAAAAAAAAAAAGGGATCTATCAAACAAGCCCTACAAGTTGGACACTGTCATAATCATTCCCTGTTTCAATTGTTGCACAGTTGTTCCTATGGGCCTCAAATGGAATGGAGAATACTGTTGGCCACAACCCAATAATTTTTTTTTCTTTTATTCATGTAAAAAATCGAGCATTTTCCCTTTAAATGATAACCAAATAAGTCTTATTCTTAACAAATCGAGTATATTATTATTTTTAACTAGGGCTTCAAGAAAGTTGTTCGACCAAATTGAAATTTCTTGAAAAGTTTCACCTTTGGTCCTCAATCTTCAATATTCGAAGAGAAATAAATTGGTCGAAAACCATTCAAAACTTGAGTATATTGTCATATACCGGGTTGTAAAGAAAAATCTAACTTCGTAAATTTAGACATACGAGAAAAGATGACCATATGATCATTAGATTGTGAATATTAAAAATTAACTTACTACTAGAACGGTAAATTTGAACGTACAATTTTTGCGTATTCTTTATAGTCTTGACATTGATGTTTTTCACATGGGTTAGATCACTTTGTCAGAAGATTAATGTCAGAAGCAGTGCTAGAATCCTAGGTGACATAAAGATGATTTGATGTAAAAGATGACCGTGTTTTAACAGTCCAATAATAAAGTGACATGTAACATTATGTTAATAATTCGGACATCGTGGTTCTTTTCACATTAGGTTAGCTCTACCTTAGCCCACAGGATGCCAAATAAAGCTTTGACTGTATCGATGGTACAAGATATTCGTTTTCGTACAAAATGAGGTGTAAATTGCAACACACTTGTCCATTGCCAGATCCAAACCACCTGCTGCCCTGTGTATTCCCACCCTAGAACCCAATACTTTATTTTCATGCTTATTACAAAACATTGGATTCCACTACCTACTTCATGCTCTGAATTAAATAAAAATTTGTAATATTTTAACATGAATCATATTTATAAAAGATAAAATGTTAGAGATGAAACAGTTAACTGGACATCTAGTCTAGGAAAAAAAGGGCACGATTTCGATACAGAAAACAAGAGCAGTAACACGAAAGGGAACGAGGAATTTTCAACGAAAAAAGTGCTCTCTGAACCGAACGTGAAAGTAGTTTTCCATCAGACGGCTGTTCCCGTAACTCTACTCTCGACTTGGATTATATATCCAAAAAGGTCCGCTCTCGGCCATTCCACACGCTGCCTAGCAGAGGCGTGGTTATCTGAAGTGGATTCTCTCCTTTGTAGTAGATGCCGAACCTGCTGTGCCCCATTGACTAAGAAGGGGGCGGACGCAGCAGCTATTACTAAATCGAAGCAAACTTTGAATACTATGACCTCAAAATAACATTAGTCAAGTTCGAAAGGTGAGAAGAAGATGTTTTCTTCTATTTTCTTACTGGAATGTTAGGGGTCAAAAAAATATGTTTACGGTGGAGTATCATGTTTTTATGTTCTACATCACTTCGATGCAACTGAGATGAGATATGTAGTGCGCAAGGTGAAAAGAAACTTCATTGTAAGTCAATTTTATAATTATGAGTTAAACTCATAAACTTTATCATGATATCAGAGCGAGTGTACGCAAGACATATATAATAGGTGTTTGTCCAACCGTGTAGGAAGAGTATTTGCATTCCCGACATTGTCGCATAAATAAAATGCACATTGTTATAAGGCGAAAGCAAATCTCACATCGTAGGCTACTTTTTTTACGATCATAAGATAAGAGGGATACCCGCGACTCAACACAATGAACGTTCCAACGTTCGACTCATAAACTGGTTTGAGAAGGAAACAAGAACTTGAAAGAAAAACTCTCAAATCAATATACTAATGAATGGACAAATAGTCAAGCACATGGAAAAAGCAAAAACAAACACCCGTTAATACTGTACACTCTAGGAGGAAAAAAACAGTTTCAGTACGCTGTTAGTTCAAATACAAATCCAAGAATTTAAAACAGTTCCCATGGTATTATTCTTGATCTGGTGGCCTCAATTCCTTCCTTAGCTTATGAGAAAACAATCTACAAGCATCCATGCTTAAATCCATTGCAGCTGCCAATGCCACAAAACCTGCAGCATCCTCTGTGCAAGTCACGTGCTGCGCCCCAATTTCGACTGCCGGTTTGCTGCACTTCCCATTGCCTTCAACCGTGCATGACATTACGAATCCTTTATACAAGAGATGTGCCCACGAACTGGATCCCTGTGTAGATCCAAGTTCCGATCCGGAACTAGACACAGAACTGATATCAAAGCTGCTATTAGGACTAGTCATGGGGGTCGGGCCTGTGGTTACGTCTATACTGAATTTGCCTCCAGATTTTGTGCTAATCATGGAATTGGCAAGTGGAATTGAATCTATGCCGCCATCGGGGATGAGTTCAAAACGGTAGCCTAGTTGGTCACCACTTTTGCGCTCACGCCAAGCCTCCAGACGGCCCCAGGGAGTCCAGGTGTTGTGGCCAGGACGAAGAATGAGCCAGGCTCCGGGATTTGATCTGCTGACCCTATTGCTACCCTGTGATGGGACGAATGGTGTCACCATTGATGCAGCAGCTACGGGTGAGCCTGAGAGGTCGTGAATGGTGATCGACCATCCCTTTCGCTCTTTTGTGGATTGTTCATCTGCTGTAGATGAACTAAAGCAGCTTGGTGATGTGCTTGGTTCTGACAGGGAAGACCTGTTACATAAAATGAGGTTTACAATAATTAAACAGCTGCTAAATAAAATCCAATCATATGGAACAATCTGTAAACAAGAAAATGTGATATACTATGATAAATTAAGCTCTAATCCAATTCTTGAACCATGTGATTAAGATCAGAGACAGCAAACAGAATAATAGAAGTATTTGGATGATCCTTTACAGATTCTTAGAAAAACATGTACCAAACCACTCCAAAAAAAAAACCATCAAGAATGCCTTAATCCCAACAAGTCTTAGGTAGACTACATGAATCTCTCTTTTTTTTTTTTTTCAATCCGTTCAACTAGCCACTTCTGATTCAAAATTAAAATTCTAAAAAACCCTAAATATCATTTTTTTAATACATAAACCAACAAACAGCAAGGAAATCGAATTAAAGTAATCAATTCCAAGAATTTAAAATATCGAATTAAAGTAATCAATTCCAAGAATTTAAAATATTATAACTGAAAAGCAAAAATTAGAATAATTACCTGGATCTCAAATTCCTCTCTCCAGAATTTCTGAAACTGAATTTGCAAGTAAAAACAGGCTGCTTAACGTTTCCATTGACCTGAAAAACTTGAGGACTACACTCTGGTTCTCCATCAAACTGGAATACAAATCTTGGATCTGGCTCTGCTCTCACATTCAAATGCAATTTTGCTTCAAACCCATTAATCAAAATCCATCCATTTTGAATCAAGAACACTCTATTACTTCCACTCTCCAAAACCCCTTTCAAATCCAACTGGAAAATAACACAACCCAAACGCTTCCCATTTTTCACAAACCCACAATTTTTCACCCGATTCCCCTCATAAATCTCGATCTTCAAACGAGGAAATTTCCCATTAGAACTCGATTTTTCCACTAGTTTTTCAAGCTCCGACTTGCTCAAGTTGAAACAAGCATGGTTCCTGCTTTCAATCGCATCACTTTCTTGAACAAGCAAAGGGACATTCGAATACTGATTATTAAACCCTCTAAGCTTAAACTTACAGTAACAAGATTGCAAAACCGACGAGCCCATAAACTTCAACCCCAGATTTCCCACAACAATCCGAACGAAAGGACACGGATCCATTAGCCCTTTCCTGCAAAACCCTCTCAACAATGAAACAAGAAATCAAAGAGGTTGACTAGTGGGTCAAAAGAGTGTATATATATAGAATATACATGTGGTGGAAGAGAACAGGCTGGAAGGTGAAGATGCATAGGCATCCGTGCAGAATGAGCTGGCTGCACGCACGCATAGATTAAGGGGGTGGCGCCAGCAATTGGAATCTATCTGTCAAATCACGCACAATTCTTACGTAAAATTCTTGTCGTTTTCTTATTACGATTGGTGTTTGGAATGTTTTGATTGGGTAAAATCAAGTAACTAGGTGGGAATTGGATTGGCCATTAATGGTGAACAGCTGTTCGAAGCTATCGCTTTTGTGACAGCTAGACTAACTTGAACTTGTGGTCCCAATGTTCACCTCCTTCTTGTTCTTTGATATTTCTTTTAATATATATATATATACTAGGTTTAAGCAACGTGCAATGCACGTTTGCTTAATTTATATATAATTTTTTTGGTTAAGAATTACATTTTTATTAATAAAGATGTAATTTTTTGGTTAATTAAATAACTGATGATGTAATGTTTATATAATTAATAAATAATTACACATTGTGATATATTAAAAAAAGA